GGTCCCGCCGGCCTCCCGGCACTTCCCGTGGGCGTCCCCAGCCCGCGGGAGGGGGGAAGCTGCCAGCAGAGCCTGTACTTGGGCTGGGGTCCTGCCCCCGGGCGCACCCTTACCCCTGGGCTTTACCTCTCAGAGAGCAGCGGTGAAGAGGGCAGCACGGTGGTGCGGAAGGAGCGGCGGCGGGAGACCCCCAACCCCATGATCCAGAAGGTAAGGGAGCCACAGTAGGGCACAGCTGCATCCGAAGTGCATCCGCAGTCGCCTGCCAAGCTCAAGCTAGGCACAGTGTTGGAGCCTTCCGTCCTTCATACCTGCTGTCTTCTTGCCCCTCAGACCAGGAGATGCATGAAGGAGAGGCCCGCGTATGCGCTGAGCAGCAGTGACGATGAGGATCCATCAAAGGAGATCGGAGTCACTTACAAATCGACAAGGTCGGCGGTAAGGACTGGCCAAGAATGTGGTTCTGGGGTCTGAAGTCAGGTGGGACTGGCAGATCCTGCACTTGATAGAGAGAATTTGCCTCTGCAAATGTGGGATCAGCCATTCCTTCTTTTTTATCTAGAGATGCACCTCCCTGTTCCTTCCCTCTTAATAGACAAGCACCTTGTGCTAGGTGTGTTCTCCTGATACCCTCTGTATCCTTAGGAGGCCATTTAAGATTGGCCTTTCCCTCTTAGAGTTGGGAATTAAAACCGCAAGATGCCACTGGACTTGCCCAACATCGCACAAAATTTTCAGGAGAGGGAGCACTTGAATCAGGTTTGCCCTACTGTTGGGTTCGTGTTTTCAGTTTTAGACCATCTTCTTCCACAAAGAATTCAAGGTGACTTAGAAGGTGCTCCCATCTTTATCCTTGTGGCCAGTGATGGGGTAAGAGCTATGGAGAGACGTCGTCATTTTCTTGGGCTTGATGGGTGGGGTGTCCTGTTAACATCTGGAGTGGAGAGAAATCGGCTGTGAAGGTTTGGGCCCAGCTCAAATTGCTCTTCCCACTGGCTTTTTCTCTTAACTTTCCTCTTGATCCAGTGAAGTTTTGCCCATTAGTATGAGCCTTGGCAGGACATAAGTAGGCTTAAAAGCAGGTATCAACACATGTTCCTCTTCAGACCTATTTCCTTATTGTCTGTGCCTCTGTATAAAATGGGAATAATGCCTAACTGCCCCCAGTCAAAGCTGCAGGGTCAGACCGAGGTCTCCTTGTCACATTAGAGATTAAGATGAATATAACCTCGTGCTGTAATTATTCACCACTTTGCTGCCAAGGGGGCAGCATATTGTTAGCCCTGCTTGCTGTAGGAGAATGGGAAGGGTGCAGGAGGAGATGACAGCTTTGGGGCTGCAGAAGCTTTTGGCATTTAAGTTGGATTTGGTTTTAATTGAGGTTAGCTGTAATTACTCTTTGGTTTCTGTGCAGCTGTTCTTGAAGATCTGATAAATCCTAGGAGCAGGTGTCTGCTCAGTCCATTAAAGAGGAATCTAAACCAGACCACTGTGTTAAAACTGAATGTAAGCCACCCACAGCTGGGTTAAAAGTTCAGACAATAACATCCTGCCTGTAGGCGGGATGGTCTCATGATTGAAGTGTTGGACATGGGAGACCTGAGTTCAGCTTCCAGCTAAGCTGAGGCTGAGCGTGAAGGAGTAAAGTAAGGACAAGTGTTTCCTGCAAGCACTAGGCTGGATCCAGCCCATGGGGGATTTTCCCTGGCAGGTGCTAAGGGAAGGTAGAAACTGATGGAAGGTAAAGCAGGCCACGTCCAGTACTTGCTCTGTGACCAACCCTCCAGGTAGCCAAGGAGCTCTCTGTCTTGTACAGGTTTTCTCTTCGCTGTTGTCACAAGTTCTTCTTGCTTTTCAGAAACCTGTTGGCCCAGAAGACATGGGAGCCACAGCAGTGTATGAACTAGACACAGAAAAGGAGAAAGATGCCCAGGCCATCTTCGAGCGCAGCCAGAAAATCCAGGAGGTGAGTCAGCCTTGCTCTGTAAGAGCTACTGCTCTACAGCATGAGTACGTGTGCTTTACTCATCCCCTTCTGCACACCGAGAAGAGTTTGAGTCTCTTCCTCTCTGGAAATTTGAGAAGCCAAGAGTGTAACCCTTGAAAATAGGGGAATTTTCTGGCTTTATTGGCATCTTGGTATTAAGGGCTGGGAAGGGAGACTGGTGTCAGAGTGGTGAAAGCTAATTTGTGTCATGAAGCTTTCCTTAATCACTTTTCTTTTTGCTTTCCTAGGAGCTGAGAGGAAAGGAAGATGATAAAATTTACCGTGGTATTAACAACTACCAGAAGTATGTGAAGCCCAAGGACACATCGATGGGAAATGCCTCTTCAGGAATGGTCAGGTAGGTTGGGATGAGCCTCAGAGGACTGGGACCACAGAGGAGCTCAGGCACCATCCCCAAAGGCACCTGTTTGGGGCTTGAACTTTGCTGCTACTGCCAGCTTCTTTCTGTCTAACGAGTCCGGTGCCTGGTTCTGACCAGGCCCCCAGGGGCCTTCTCCACCGCAGCTGCGCAGCTGGCCTGAGCCTTCTCCCACCCTTTCAGAAAAGGACCCATCCGTGCTCCGGAGCACTTGCGGGCCACGGTGCGATGGGACTACCAGCCCGACATCTGCAAGGACTACAAAGAAACTGGGTTCTGCGGCTTTGGAGGTGAGTGGATCTTGCCTGCAGCTGAACACGTGCTGCGCCAGATCTGCAAAGGGATCCAGTCCAGCTTGTCATCCCGTGTTTGTGGCGCTCAGATGTGCACTTACTGATTTACAGGCACTTGTTTGCAGAGCTGGTGTGTGATGCTGTTGCAGAGTTGTTTTATGTGATGTTCTTGTCATTTGTGTCGGCCCTTCTGAAAGCTGATGGTCTCTAATCAGTGGTTGTAAGAGTCCTGGGAGGGACCCCTGGGATGTTCCAGTGACCCACACTGCCACAGGTATTCTGGCCGCTGAGGCCATGTGAAGGATGGAATTTCCTGTTCCTTATCCCACTTCCCATGTGTGTAAATACTGGAACTGTTGCTGTGGCACACAGAGCACGATCCTCGCGGCCTACCAACCCTGAGAGGGATCCTGTGCCTGCTCCAGGAGCTTGGCGCTGCCCAGGAGCGCAGGCGGGCGGGGAAGCAATCAGGTTTCACCTTCTGCTGGGCAAAACTCGGGCTGCTCCTGAATTGAGGTGTCCTGTCAACCCTCTACCCCACACAGCCTAGCTGTTAATTCCTCTTTCTTTGTGCTGCTCAGACAGCTGCAAATTCCTCCACGACCGCTCGGACTACAAACACGGCTGGCAGATCGAACGGGAACTGGATGAAGGCCGGTATGGAGTCAATGGTACGGCACCACCTCTCTGCTCTCCCTCTCCCTAAGCTAATGGTGGATGAGGCTACCAGGTCCTGCCTCTTATGATGCCCTAAAGCGAACGTGACTTAGGGATATTGGATCACTAAGAATGAAATGGATCCTTTGCTGTCTCAAACTGCATGGGCCCTGGGTTGAATTAATATTAGACAGAAAGGACTCTAGTCCAAAGCTGTGGAACTCCCTGCTGCAGGATAACCTTAGGGCCAGTAATCACTGACAGCGCTCAGCAAATCTGCTGCTTTCAGATAACCACTGGCTGCCACCAGAGAGAATTATTTCCTCTGGCTCTCTATAAAAGGACAGCACTGCTGTTGTATGGGTCCCAGCAGCGAGCTGTGTGGAGCTGGGGAGATGTGACTATCTCCTGCCCCCCAGATGCCCAGGAGGTAGGATGCTTTCATGCTACGTCACATCATTATTTCTCGCTCATACTGTCCGTAGCTGCGGCCCAAGGCTCATGAGTCTTGCTCATGAACCGCTGTGCAGCTGAGGGGAAGAGGGTGTTCTCTGTTCAGTTGGAGCCAAGGAGTTTGGTGGCAGCTGGTTTGGAAGAAAATTTAAAAAATAGGAGGGGGCTGAAGGATATGTCTCTTTATAGCAGTGAGTGGGCGAGGTAGAAAAGAGTTTGCTCTTGTGAGATGAGCAACAAGCACGCTGGCTCATTAGACCTAATTATATCTCAGTCCCACATGTATTACTGACATCAGCAACACCCAGATGCCAGAGCTCTATTGTTTCCAGCAGAGATTTAATCCCACCTGCTGTGCTCTCTCCATATTTAATATTTCATGCCCCACGCATGGGCTGGTCTGCCTGCCTCTGCTCTTGCTCCAGTCTGGTTAACTTTCTCTTCTGCAGATGAGGAAAACTATGAGGTGAGCAGCGATGAGGAGGATATGCCTTTCAAATGCTTCATCTGCAGAAGTTCCTTCAAGAACCCCGTGGTCACCAAGTAAGCGGTTGTTTTGGCGTGAGGAGCCAAGTGTCTGCTGTCGATCCAGTTCACTAGTCATTCACTGTCGAGGCAGATACAAACACTGCCCACAGGCTGGTGGGTAGAATCTGCTTGTTGTTTGCTGTGGCTTTCCGGTGGGTGGGGAAATCCTCTAATAACCAGGCACCACAGGCTGGTGGGTAGAACCTGCTTGTTGTCTGCTGTGGCTTTCTGGTGGGTGGGGAAATCCTCTAATAACCAGGGAGTCTCATCACTGCATCTGGAGCATCTCCTTGGAAGGGATCTCAAGCCTTTGTTGTCCAGGCACCTTTTAGATTTCCACAGATGCTGCCTCATTACATCATCTTTCCCGTTAACCTTGAGATTTTGTTTTCGTGCCTTCATTTGTCCTGGACACTGAACGGCACGCTGCATTGCGTGAGCAGAGAAACAGAAGCATGGGGAAGCCAAGAGCTTGCCAAGGATGAGGAGCAGGCTGGGGGCAGCCTGGACATCACACGCTGCCAGCCCTCTCCCACGCTGCCGGCTGTCTTGCTAGGTACCCGGTGTCTGGAAGAGCTCACTGGTGGCTCTGTGCCATCGCTCCACATCAGTGAAGCAATGCTGAAACACCTTTCATGGGGACAGTGCTGCAGAGGAAGCTTTGCATGCAGCTCACTTTTGCATCCCCTGGGGACCAGTAGTCAGTAATTTTCTAACGCCTGGACGCAGCGACTGTATCTGGTGACGTGCTGTGGCATCTGTGTCTCTGTACAGGTGTAGGCACTACTTCTGTGAGAATTGTGCCCTCCAACACTATCGCAAATCCCAGCGCTGCTACGTCTGTGACAAGCAAACTAATGGAGTCTTCAACCCAGCAAAAGGTAACAGGCGCCTGTGGGAGAGAGGGCTTTCAGTGGCAGCGTCTGGAGCAGCAAAGGCACCAGCTCCTGAGGTGTCATCGTCTCGGTGTTGGGCTTGGCCCTAAGCTGGAGCTCACAGCCCTTGGCTGCCGGCAGAGCTTGCTTTAGTGCCAGGAGACACTAAATCACGGCCTGTGTGGCTCCCGTAGGTGCAAAATGAGCATCCGTGCTTGCCCAGGTGGGGAATGCGGGGAGTGTGACTTCTGGTGAGGGTAGGGGGGGGGGATGTGCTGCAGGAGTGGAGGCAGCAGCTTGTCTGATGCTCTAGTTGGCAGGTCAGTAACGCACTGATGGATTCTATGACTGTAACAGCTGATGCCCTGGACTCGGCAAACGGTGGTAGCTCCTAGCTGAGCCTTTGTGTAGGCAAGTAGTTTTTGGTAGCTGCCCTGGTTCTTGCAGAGATGGGTGTATGCAGGACCTGGGCACCTGGCTTTGGTGTGGGACAGCCCCTGCGCCTCGAGTCTCATCCTGCCTATTCCTGTTTTTCAGAGCTCATGGCAAAATTGGAAAAACACAAAGGGGAGGAAGAGGAGGAGGAAGAGCAGCAGCATTCAGACCATGGAGAGGATCCGCAATAGCAGAGCACCCTGTTTTGTATCTAGCTGAATAAAGCTTTCATGGGAGAAAAAAAAAAAAAGCTCACAGCACTTGCCTTGGGGCCAGCAGCTGTAGCCAGTACTTGTGTATCCAACCAGCAGCTACTCAAACAGTGTCCTGACCGTGCCGGATTCCTTGTTTGCTGCTCTGTGAAGGCACAAGACGGAACAGGTAAGGTGAGACTCAAGAGTCGTGGCTGAGTATGGCTGTCTGCTACCACCGTGCTGCCAGCAGGACCCCAACAGTTGCCTCTGAGTGCAGCAGTGCGCCTGGGGAAGGAGGTGTTGAAGACTACATTCAGTTACTTCGTAACTTCTTTTTTTGACCAAGGTGCTGCTGTTTCACTCCTAACTGCACTGATCCTGCTTGCTTCCTGCTGCTGTGTAAGCATAAATCTATCTCCGAGTTAATTTAAGTCCATAATCTTTGAGCATGTAGCAAGCTGAAAGCATGGAAGGGGATGAGAAATACTAGCTTGCATTAAGATCATCCTTCACCCTAAAACTGCTAACTCATGGGAAAGCAGGCTAGAGCGCTGCAGTTATTTGTGATTTATTATAGCTCAGTGTGTTCCCTCCTGTCTTTTCTGCCTGCCTCTTGGTTCCTAGGAGAATTCAAGAGAGGCTTAGATCTTCAGTGGGCAACACACCTCTTGAATCATCCCTCTTCTGTGAGGAAACCCATCTCCTCCAAACCATCACTCACTCAAAACCTTTGGGACTATGCTGAGTGGTACTGTGCTTTTTCTTGCTGTAAGTACCGGTGATTCAGTCCCTGTCCAGGCTTGTGGGAGAGGGATAAGGATTTTTGCAAGCTACAGACTTCATAACAAGCTAGGAAATTAAGATCTGCTTACTGTAATAAAATTAAATCAGGAGCCAAACCTGATCCTAGGGAGGAAGTAGAAGGAGGAATTCACCCCCGTTCTGGGAGAATGCATTCTACCGAAACATTCAGAGAAGAGCAAGAGCAGTTGTTAACAGCTTCTTGCTTTAGTTGAAATACGTTTTTGAAACATGACGGCAGTTGCAGCTAACTGTGGTGAGCTATACGAAAGTAAGGAAATAAGAAGAGCAAGCGTGCAGAGCCAGCCCGTGTCATCATTTGTGATCCACACCATCATCTTGCAGAAACAAGAGACTTAAAAAAAACTTCAGAAATACTTTATTTGTTTTGGTAAAAAACTAGAGTAACAAACTTTTATCTGGGTTCAAGTACAGTTTATAAACACAAGAAGGACCTGTTGCCAGCACCACTACTCCCATCAACCACACCTACAGGACTGGATTCTCAGTGCTTCGTTGAAGAGTAGAAAGACCTCCAGCACCCATGGTCCTTGGAAAGGTCAAACTAAAAGCCTTAAATGCACCTCCAAAAAACAAATACCATGGAATGGGGGGAGCTGCCACAGCAGCAGGGCAAAGTCACACAGCCATGAATCGAGGGGAGCCATGTGAGAAGCAAGCTTTTACCTGTCATTCAGTCAGGGAAGGCAGAACAGCAGTGGTAATGGAAGGCTTAGGATCAACTCTGTACATGACATTCAAAGAGGAGTCGTGAGCAAGAGGATTTAGCATGAAAGTCAACTTAATTTTCCTCTGTGCCAGGGTAAGTCACTGAGAACAAGCTGGTATGAGTGTTACCTACTGTGAAACCAGCCCAGCTAACGGGAGGCTCAACTAGATGTGCTGTGGGGATAAAAAAGCTGGTACCTTGTGCATGTGTACACGCTTTGGTGACCCAGGCAGCCATGGGAGGAGAGGCTGGAATGCCCTGTCTGACCTGGAGTTCAGAGCGCTCGGCATCAAGTGAGAGGAGTCTCTTCAAAAGCTCTCTCCAGAACTGGAAGAGAAGAATCCAGCGCTGTAGAAGAAAGCCCGATGCAGCAAGTGTGCCTGGAATGGAATCGGATTGTCTTTGATCTCCCATTTTCCATCACAAAGCAGTGACTAAATTTAGAGAACATAATCCCTTTTTTCCACACTCTCAAAAGCTACCCTGTGACAACACTGTAACAGTAATCTGACTAGCTCTAAGAGAATGCCAAAAACTAAGAGCTGCCTGCCTCCCCTTAACTCTAAGGCACCCTTAAAAGAGAAAGAACCAAAGAGGGTAGGGACACACAGCCTTCAACTGTGATACGAGGAAGCCAGTGATTTTCAGAAACGCATAAATAGAGACTAAACAGGCTCACTCAACCCATTTGAGTGATCTACCAGTGCTCAGCTGCAAGAACTGGGGCGCTGGGCACTGCACCATCTGGAATACTCCAGTTCCTTGGGGTTGATCCTCTTCCAGCTCAGGTCTGTCCATTTGTTTCCAGGCTACTTCCTAAGTAAACAGGCAGTTGAAGTTCCTTCCCAAGGACCTGTAAACTCTTCTATGTGTAACATTCATCACCTTTTATGAACAGAACCAATAAATTACAATGTCCAGAAAGCTCCTCCAGAACCAGGTATAGTCCCTGTTTTTCTAGAATTCCCAGTCATCCACATCCAGCTGCTCCAGGTTTGATACCAGCCCAAAAATGCCACTGGGATCCTGGGGCCGCGTTCCTTCAAAATTGGTGATTGGGGTGACGGGGCGCAGAAGTTCAGGGAGTGCTTCAGAAGCACGGCGCTTGATCTGCACAGGAAGGAGAGACCTCGGCTGCTGAAATGCTTCCCCACACTTGCACATCACAGTCAAGCAGCAACAATGTGAAAGTAAGAACACAGTATTATCTGCCCACCTGCACTGAGACGCGTGCAGGGCTTTCGCACTGCATCTTGTCACGAGAAGTGCTTTGCGTGCAGCCTTTTCAGCAGCACTTGGGTGCTGTGGTCCTGATGCTCCCCCTCAGTGAAGCACAACCCTAACTCCCAGCTCAGAGCAAGCCAGACAAATCATTTCAGGAGCAGGAGAGCCTCTGCCTTTTCCCGTGCCAGGGCTGGAGCTCACCAACCTGCCACACAACTGTAAGCAACGCACAGATCACCTCGGTTTGGTCTCATTAAGGACCAGGTTAGGACTGCCTCGCCCCAGGACTCAATAGCCTGTGGGTGAAACTGTTCTGCCATACAGGACAGGCAGATTTACATCCTCTGTTTAGATAAGGAAGAGATGCTTTTGAGAACAGCCCATCCACCTCCGAGGACAACGTGAGGATCACCAAGCTGCACTACGATTAGTCACCAAACTAACTTAATTCTTTCAGATCACAGAAAATTCAGCAACTCGACATTCCCACCCCCAGGTTCAGTGAGACAGCAAGACGACTACAGAAAAGCCACTGTTCTTTATCTGCAGATTAAATTAGTTCCTTACCTGCTTGAAAAAGGGATGATTAAGCAGAGTGCCTGCGCTTGGCCTGTAGAAGGGAGTTAGAATAAAGTAAGCACACAAGAAAATGCGTCAGTGTTTAAAGTCAGGTAGTGGAAGAAAGAAAAGACCAGGGTCCTTCCTGCCTCTCTCATTTCTCAGCTATAGGATATCTCCCTTTTGTAACCAGTAGCACTGTTTATTATCTTTGCGTGATGTTTTATGCAGGCAGTTCAACCTTCTTCTGTGCAAGTTACCTACTTGTACACCCCACCATTTGGTCAAGGGAAAGCTTCTGAACAGTGTGGTACGCTAGAGAAGTTTGTCATGGCTAAAGACGACCTTATGCTCACTACGGAGGAAGATACAGTTCTTGATCACTTCCCATCGTTACTTTCTGCTGACTGAACAACAGACATTCGCAGTGATGGAAACTGGGTAAACACAGTCTCACAGGGAGCAGAAATTCAAGTTGTTCAGTTTATTTTCCTGACGTGTAGCACCACTCTACCCTCCAAAGAAGGTTGCAAAGTAATTCTTCAGGCTCTCTTACAGAAAGCGCTCAAAGTATTAACACTGCTCTTCTTTTACATACTTGGACTGCTTTTCTCAATGTATGGAGCACATCCTCACTCCACTAGACTTTTGGAAAGAAAACTGAATAACCTCTGCTGGCTCTCTTGGGTTAATCTGCCCTAGAATAGTGCAGGTCTGTGAAGAGCAGCTTTCACCTGGCTTTACCTGAAATCGGGGTTCCGCTGGAGGCACTGCTCTACGAAGTTATGGAAGTAGGTGGAAAAGGTCCGAAGATAAGGGTGCAGGGTTGGCTCTCCGTTGGCCGCTCTCACATTGCTAATAGCCATGCTCTCGCCCATCCCGTAGTTAGCACTTGAACGGGAGGTTTTCATAGTCAGCTCATCAGCAGGAATTGTGGTGGTGTCTAGCAGGCAGGGAACAGTTCCATTCAGCTTTTCCAAGAGCATCTGGAAGAGAAGGGGGATAAGCAACATCACACACAGGAAGACCAGACATTTAAGGTTTCTCATCCAGGTAGGCACGGCACCCTTCTGTCTTCACATCCCAGTGCAGCAAAGCAGTTCCATGTGCCAGGATGAAGGATGAGAAGGGAACAGCTTTTAAACCTTACCTGAGTAGAAGGCATGTCTTTAAATGGTACGTGTCCATTTGCCAGTTCGCAGGCTGTTATCCCTACGCTGTAAATGTCAGATTTTGCATCGTAACCCTGGAGATTCTAGATGAAAAGAAAAATTAGCCTTGTGGACTTACATGGGATTGCATGGGCAATACCCATGATTCAATATGCAGAACAGCAAACCCAAATGATTAGAGCAGAAATAGTACAACCACATACAGGCTGGTTTATTGTGGTCATGGGTTTTTTGTTTGTTAAAACACACAGTTAAGGGCAACATTTATTTAACTGAAATCAGCTAGCTAGTAGGGATGGCATCCACCTTAGGGTAACACTTTGCTAATCGGAGGATCTGTAGAAGTACCTACAAGAAAACTATTTAGTCAAATAGATCAGATCAAATTCTACCCACTCGCCCTGCGCCCTCCCCAGATCTGTTTCCTCTAGCCACTCCGCTTTCTTTTCCTTGCATTCGTGCACCTTCCTCTGGAGGGAAAGAAAAGACAATGTTGTGACATGGGCTTCTCAGCAATTGCCCCTTTTGACAGGAATACAGGTTTCCCCTTGCTAGGGGTCAGTGGTTTTAAGGTAAAGGACAGAAGAAAAGGATAGAGCTCATCACAAGAAAAAGTAATCCTGTGGCTTTTGTCATGTGTGTGTGTGTCCCCCTACACCCCCCGAACATGCCATCAGAACTCAGAAATTATACAGAGATACCATATATCACTAAAAAGTAGCAGGTTTTTTTTCAACACACCTGCTGCAAGACTTCAGGACTGAGCCAAGGCAGGACTTTGATGCTGTATTTGGGAAAGTCATGAACAACTTTGAGTCGCTGCCCATGGTTGATCATACTTAGATTACTTCGCAGGCCAGAGAGGTACACCTTCCCATCTACAGAGATCAGGATATGGCTGGCTTTAACACTCCTGAAAAAAAAGTAAAAATAGTCAGGTTCTCTGGCCTCAAGAGAGTTATGTTCCTTACAGCTTTCCCAGGAAGTCTTAGTGCGGAAAGGCACTGCAAAGGATTTAAGGCAGGCATAGGTAAGCTGAATTTCTTTTACAGTACATACAATAAAAGTAGTAACCACTAATAACCTAGAACTTTTAGCATTTGAAATTTACTTTTGCAACAGAAGGATGTATCAGAGAAGAGGAAAAATATGCTAAGGGATGGAGGCAGTGATTTAGAAAGAGATTAAGAGAAGTTGTAGTACTAAAGAGAAATTCATCCTTAGCGAGCACCTATGGAAAGGATAAAAGCCTACTCTACTGGACAGCTCAATGCACAGGGCAATACTTGATCAGCCTCCTACCAGGAGGCTGAGACTCCTAACGACCATCCTGAATGCTGTGCAAAACCGCTTCTGCAAACATTAACAGGACTCTATTCACCTACTTTGCAGGTTCCCAAAGAACGTTTCTGTGGCAAGGAGAAATGCAAGACTAAAGGTTATGGACCCAGGACCTTCAACAGTAACAGGGCAAATCCCCACCACCACCACTGTCAGTCTCAATTTGGAGACTATCAATAGTATCTGAACAGAGCCTTAACAAGTCAGCCTGTCAATATGAGCTGCGGTTGTGATTTTACATACACAGTGGTCTTTGGGATAAGTTTGTTCCACAGTGACACTTTCACACAGTTCAGGAAGATCAATGATACAATTTGCCACGAGTATCAAACGGGCTTGCTCTAACAGCAAAGTAATACAAAACTCAATAATGCGTTCCGCATCTTTTGAACCATCCACTCCGCTGTAGTGATGAGTAGCATTTCTGAGAACTTCCAACAGAAGGAAAATGGATTGTCTTTTTTTTTTTTTTAAATACCTATGTACATAGCCCATATGGTGGATGTAGTCAAGTGCTTTCAATACGCCTTGGAGGATATATGCGATAGCCAGTTCACTCATCCCATCCATAAAATGGGTACAGATTAAATCCTTTGCAGAACCTAAAAAGAAAACACCTCTTAATTGGTCAGGAAAAAAAAAACCAAGGATACTTCGCCTCTTAAATTTCATTTCACAGAATATGATGGTCGGACAAAGGTATTCCCTCTCCACCTACCATAGGCCATGAAAGACGTCACTACCCATAGCTCATTGTCAGCTATGAAAGTTGCTTTGTATGGCACGATGTTAGGGTGGTTGAAGAGCTTGGAAACATGAAGTTCCCCCTAAAATAAAAAAAAAAGGTATTTTGATTCAATTTAGTAAATGCAGAAATACGAATACAGCATTGATAAGCACTGCTCTTGCTGTCTGTCCTCTCCTAAACTTGCATTATGGTATTAGTGGATTCGTGTTACCTGCAAGAATGTGACCATTTCGTTTGTGCAGGCCTCCAAGTTCACTCTTCTGACTGTGACATACTCTCCTGTGGGTTTATACCTGGCCAGGTTCACAACCATCAAGTCTTCAAAGCCTCTGCCTGAAAGAAAAGGCATTAAAGCTTCAGCAATATTTCTGGAACCACACACTTCTGGCAAAGTCCTCCAGTCCTTGACCCTTAAATAATCTTTACGCTCATTTATTGAAACTATTTTTGGCCTTGTGAAAAAGAGTAATCATTCCATCAGATACCACATTCCTTGGCATGTATCCCATCAAGAGAAATCCTCCTAGCCAGTAATACTATCCTGTCTTTCAAGTTCAGAACCGAGGTAGAAATAAAACGATTAGGCCGCAGCCCCACCAAGGACAGGGACAGGTTTCAGGCTGCTTCTGCTGACTTTGTACTTCACTCAGTATCATTAACCCACCACATATCTCTTTCAGTTGAAAGCCTTTGGGATTGGCACCTCATTTTTTATTAAAGTGATTTTAAAATCAAAGAGGACGGGCATCTAATGTCAAAAATAAGCAATCAATCAAGAAAAGGCCAACAAATCTGCAGAAGTTATTTTCTTTGCAAAGCAGACTTCCAATCCTCCAGTCCACTGTAGTATTACCTATGATAGTGAGCAACTCATAACAGCTGCTGTCTGGTAGGAAGTTGCTCATGGTGTCCCTTTTAGGGGAAGAAGCTATCGACTCGGAGCTCGCCTCATTTGTCTGGGGGAAAAAAAAAAAATAAAGTCAGGTCAAAAGAAATAAAGATCACGTGCTAGAAAAATCATCTGCTCCTTATATTATCATACACCTCAAAATAAGAAGACAGTACTGAATATAGAAGAGAGAATTTAATTGCTGTTAAAATAATTTTAAATAGTTATTTATCAATTGAAATTCAGGAGATGCCTCATTTCAGAAGATCCAGATATCTGTGTTTCAAAACATGTAACCGTAACAGGTAGGTTCTTAATTACTGTAAGCTGGAATGTCTTTAGGAATATTTGGATAAAGCCAATTACCATTCCCCAGGACAGCTTAAGCACTGCTTTATAGTAACTACCTTTCTCTCATTAATTACAAACTTCTGTGCCACCTTCCTGTTGCATGAGCAAATGCCAAAGGAAAGCTTGTTCGCAGCACCTCTCTGCACTCTGGCAGTCAGCATTCCTGTCTGATGCTGGGGCTTCTGGTCTTCAGCTGCTCATCTGCGATAAGACCAGCACAGCTGAAGCTGCTTAGCTGAATGGTAGAAGTGATGAACCAACTTAGCCCAAGATATGAAGATCGGACACGCATGAGAAGAGAAGCTCCAAATGAAAGCAAAAACTGAACTGCAAAGCATTAGTGCTTACAGCAAAAAACAACAGAAAAGAAAAAGACCCCACACCACACGGGGAAGCAGCACTCCCAAGCCTGTCAGCTTTTCTTTGCTACATCTGACATAAAGCTATCTGCTTTATTTACATACACATAAATCTTTCCAAGCAGGATTTTGCAGAAGACAAACTTCAATGTTCTTGCAAGTTCCATTATACCTTCCAACTCCCTCAAATTTCCAAAGTCACAAGGAGAGCATCTTAATGGGGAACCAAATTTATTTGGTGTCTAAGATCAGATTTAGTTATCTCAAATTTCCAGCACATTAACTCCTCCTGACATTTGGAACTCCAGCTCATTTTTTCCACCTCATTCTTCATCAACTGCAAATGCCCTTTATCAGACCTTTTCTCATGGTACATGAAGCAGAAAAGGCTTGTGCATTTTCCTAGAGTGACAGCAAATACTCTTTTTTCCATCACTGAAAGATGGAAACAACACAGTGGCAGCTGAAAAACAAGAAACTTGCTGTTCTACACTCAGTCCAGGGTAAACTTAGTGCCATGAGCGCAGCCATGAATTTGCCGTAAATTACCTTTGGGTCCCTAAGTATACTTTGGGAGTAAACTAATAGTCAACGCTTCCCAAGTTCTGCTCTTTCAGCTGACCTTGAACAGCACACATTCTACCTCTCTCTGCCTACCTTTTAAACAGGTATATTTTTCAGTTAAGGGAAAAGGCAAACCTTCAAGATTTGTGAACAGTGCTACGGTATCATTTCAGCTCAAACAACTCTAGCACAGCAACTCGGTCCTGTTTCAGGATAGCTAACCCCTGAGATCTCAGCAGCCCCAAATCCTTTTTTCTAGTCATAAACACTAGACAGTGCTGTTCCTTGGCTGAGAACAGGCAGCAACTTTCCATTCACGATTTCAAACTTCTGTTAAAGATGCCTGTCAATTCTGATCTCAACTGTCACTCATTACTTCTTCCAGCAATTTCACACAGTCCTGTCAACAGCAAGATTGCCAGGAGACACACACAGGCAGATGGAAACCTCTGAAGCAGAAAGGCACCACCAAGGAAATGAAAGCAGGAGGCTCTGATAAGCAGTGTTATGGAGCAATGACAGCTGGTGAAACACTGAGCAATGTGTAAGTGGTTTGCTTTATTAAAGTCCACTCCAGATACAGCATAAGCCAACAAATCAGATGCAAAAAAATTAAATAAGTTTAATCTTATTAATGGCGTAGGCTGTTTCAACAGTAATGGAAAAATACTGTGAATTCCCTTTTTAAAAGTCTTCCAGTACATCAGAGGTCTTCACTCACCTCTCTTCATGTTAGCAGTGACCGATAACTGAGTTAATGCAAAAGGAGCTCTACCAGAAGTTTATCAACATCATACAAGAGGGTTTTTTTTAAAAAAAAAAAAAAGTTAAACTGAAATGTCATTTATGAAATACTGCAAAAAAAGCTCCTCAGTGGTTTCACACAGGACTTTTGGTGTATGGTCAAAAGCAAAAGCAGCTGCAAAATGAAGTCACGTATGACTAGCTTTATGGCATGACATTCATTAAGAGCTAGCTTTCCGGCTTGTTGATCTGACTTTAATTTGAGATAGATTTAAGGAAATTAATCTTTGCAAGGCAACTACTGTTATAAATGCCATAAGAAAATCAGTTATGTGATGCTAGCAAGAATCTGCATTTGCCAAATGACGTTCATCTCAATTAGGAAGAGGGAATGTCGTTTTTGTTCTGCTGCCTTCCTCTCCACCTCCTCGTTCCCCCACTCACTTTCAGCATGAGCAACAACAATTTGCCTCCTATCCCCCTCCCCAAATTGTTTACCTTTTTCTATAGCCCTGCTGGAAAAAGTAAGCTTTTATTTAGATGTAAAAATCAAAATAAGAGTCAGCAATACCACTGCAGAGGTGACCGAACCCCAAGTGAATACTGTAATGAAAACAAAACAGATGCTCATCTCCATTTGCTTCCAGTCCAGCATATGCATAACACTCAGCAACTTAAAAAAAGGTGTAAGTTTACTTGACTTCATACAAAACATTCCATATACATCTCATATTTTCAGCTTTGTTTGTGCCAGTGAATTACAGACACTGGCACAAAAGTCAATTATAAGCAGCTTGAACTGACACAGCTATAACCAAATCACACTTAATTCGTGTTTGTAATTAGCTTGAACTAGAGCAACACCTGCACACAGACATGTTTCAGTATGGTGTGGGTAGGTGGGAAATCATTTAGACAAATACATTCTATCGTAAGTTGTGTTATTCTATGAGAATTGTTCATTATGAAGCAGATAGCGTGCAATCAGGCCCTGCAGAACAAAAAGCGTCAAGGTAAAGTTTTCAACTGCCACATTTTGGCTGTACGTTTCTGAACAGACATTCCATGTTTGCCAGTGATTTTAGTCTTTAAGAGGCAAAGCTCTCTAAGCACACACGGAATTGGCTCCGAAGACGACCAGACAACAGGAGGTAAAGTCACCTCGAACTGAAAATTACATGATGTTTGGTTTTGATGTTGGAGCCTCTGTTGTGGCTGCTCTACAGGGAAGAGAAAGAAAATCAGAATCAATGTGTTCAGAAGGGAGCACTGGTTTTGAATGGCCAACATAAAATTTTTTGGGCCTAGTTTTCAGAAGTCCCATAAACTAACCTCTTCCTTTTATTCTAAAGGAGAGTTATAAGAGATTAGCATCTCTGAAGAATCAGATCCAAATCATCTCAAAAAAAGAGACCCCTGGGGGGCTGGGGGATGACGACACAAATACAAATCCAAGAGATTAAGTTTAAGGTTTTGACTTGTCATGTAGAGTTTGAAAACCACACACCAAAATCTCCACTCCAGGGTGAAACCTGTTTCCACACTTGTAGAGCTAAATACAGAGATGAAATATGTAACTAAGATAAAAAGAAAAAAAAAAATCAAACTTCCACAAGGAATAATCTCCATGCAATGAACCACAGCACCACAGCCTGCAAAAGTCACTTACTTTTCTCCGAGAGTCACCCGGAGGCTGCTCTGGAGTAAAGAAATTAATTGTTCACCATGTTGCGTTCAACAGATACCCATTAAAAATATAGTTGGAAAACTGAGTAAATAACCCTGCATGATACTTTTTGATACCAAATTTTTTTTTTTAGACAAAGACATTTAATTTACACATAAGGTTGCAGCACTAAAAATAATCAAATTGTAGTACAAGTATGGGAATTAAAGAGATTCAAATAGTGCTACTGTTCATATATTCAGCATAAACGTAAGGTGACAATTTTTTTTATTATACCTCTAAACACATTCAAAAATGACATACCTACTTTGCTTAAATACAGAAGAAACTATCTAAAGTTTATTTAAAGTAGTGAAAATTCTTCCGCTCCACCTGGAAGCTCAAGATCTAGACATCTTTCCTATGCTCTGGTCACCTTCTGTGTCACTGATCGAGAATTCTGCATCCTAGTGGGCAATTTTGCTCGTTATGCACAAAGCAGAACAGAAATTAATCAGCTCTCCTGCAGGCACACTGGGGAGCTATCATCAGAGTTTCAAAATCTATTTTTACTGGGAAAATTATAATTAACCTTCCCAAACCCCAAATCTTTTTCATAGGAAAAAAAGTGGTTATGCTAAGAAATACAGAATGCAGGGTCTGAAAATAGTACTGCCATCAACGTGAAATTGATTTCCAAATAACTTGCTAGATCTTGGACACTTCCATATTAACTTTATATGGTTAGCCAGCTTGAATAACCAGATCTGCTGCTACAACCAGATTTATTCATCACTTTTACTGTTAAGATACATATTTACAACCAAATTAACAGACCCTGTGGCTAAAATAAAACATTTCTAACAATGTCATCTAACGAGAGGGAAACTTACCTCCAAACAGTTCGAACTCTCTTAAGCCCTCAACAATGAACTTTTCAGACACCCACCGCTGAAAGAAAAAACAAAATCCCCCAGATAATTAGTCATTCCATCTAAAGACGAGTTTCTTTTCCCCCTCTCCCCCCAAAAACATAAGAGAATCTTAACACTTCAAGGATTCTACTGCGGTCTGAAACTAATTAGCTGCAGCATCAGAGTTACATCCTTACTTTGGACAAGGATATTCTCTTCTTGTGCCACTACGATGGCGTGCAGCCAGCAACCACACAGGTGCTACTGCTTTTCCTGAGCAGCATGCACTTGCAATAAAGTTAACATAATTATAGATCATTCAAACAAGAACCTTTATCCATGCACGTACAGCAAAAATAATAAGCCTGCTACAACTCCCTTCTATATGCAAATAAAAGTTGTTTGGTTGGTTGGAATAGGTGTAAAAAAAGCTTCAACTATTTACAATGAGGTGATCTCTTAAAGAACTTAAATATTTTGGCTATATATCTATTGACTGAATGCAAAATTAGAACATAAATGTTTTAAAGCTGTTGTTCTCTTCCAGAATTCATGCTTAAAATTCACAGCAAGCATTAGGTTGTACAGAGAAATGTTTCTACCGCTCTGTTCAACTCCATGATTCAAAGAAAAATATATATTCATGCACACATAACACACAATAGAATATGCAATTTTAGGCTTGCAGAGTGTTGATCACGAAGTTAGCATTAAACAACCACAAACACTCCCATGTTAGAATTTGTCTACTCGGTAAAATAACTGAAAAAATAGCTTATGTCGTTTAGTGCAAGGGAAGCCTAGTCCTAGAAAGCACCGACGAGTCTTTAGGTGATGACGACTCAAAACTCGTATATAACAATATCATTTTAAGGCGTTAAAAGTGGTTTTCTCACGTGAAACTTCCTCATTTAAAAACGCAGAATTAAACAAAGCTGTTGCGTTTAGCTTTCCAGGCTAAGTTTAGGAAAAAAAAAAAAAACAACCCACAAGCAGAAACTGTCGGTGGTGCAACACAGGTGGGGCAGTAACTTCTTAAAGAAAGGTATGAAACAATCGGCGTTACCGCACTTTGTCTTAATTGCGACGCTCATTACGAACCCCTTGCACCACACGCAACGGAGATACAGGTGTGCAAGCAATAAATACTGAAGCGCAGGGTGGTGTTTGTTTTTTTTTAACTAGCGCCTAGCGCGCACATGGATGCCCTATAATTAGCGGATTTTAACGTGACTTTGAGGTGCTTTCCAGGAGGCCGGCCCCGCCGCAGCTCCTCTGCACAAGCGCAAGGCAGATCTACCGACACGCCGGCGTCTGAGGGAAGCTGGAAGGCGTTCAACACTCACCCTAATCCGTTCGGGTTTACTTACAAGAAAAGACATGGAATCCGCGTTTGCGTTACCACACGCAGCTCGCGAAAGGACGGGCAACCTGCAGGCACAAGAGCGGGTCACCCCCTCGCGCCTCACCCCGGGACCGAGACCCCGCGCCGGGCAGCGCTCACCCGGGGCCCGGCGGCCCCGCGGCCCCCCCCC